CTTACACAGACACAAACACACATGTTACACTTGGGGAAATATTCTCTATCTGCAGAATGCCCTCTGCCGTTCAGTTTGCTGTATGATGATAGAGGGCTACAAGTCACTTAGCAGACGCTTTTATCTAAAGCGACTTACATCAGAGAGTAAGAACAACACAAGCAAGGATAGAAAGGAGGAAACAACAAGAGCAAACGAACAGCTTTAAATCCGATCGGACCCTGGTGCTGACAGGCAGTGAGCAGAGGCAAAGCACAACATCCACAGCTGTTCCTGAGAGTTCTAATCAGCATCAAAACCATCCTGAAATCACTGTTATCAATTATCAGGGATATTGGTTAAATGATGAAGTAAATGTTATTATTCAGCAAAGTCTTTGTTCAAAAGACCAATTTTCTCTCAGATAAAAAAAAATATATATAAATACAACAAATTCCCGTTTCTCAAGTGTTTGCAGCCAGTTCTAATAGTAAAGCAAACACACACAGACGCACACACACTGAGAGAAAACTTGATGACCTGACTCGACTCCCCGTGCGAGGTTCAAGATTAAAACCAGCAGAAAAATGCATGAGACGCTCCCGTCTGACTAATCCAACCTCACCTTGAGTCTGATTGACACTAAACACATTTGCAATTTGAGTCTGCATAAATGTTGCTCTCAGAGAGCAAAACTAACTACTCTGCTGAATATGGAGTATGACAGCTACAAGGAACACATTCGCAGGATGTATTTTGAACTCTCTTATGGAGTTACTGAATCATAAACAAATATTTTACTCAAAATATGCAGGATCCTGGGTGATTTTTAAAGATGTGAAATACGCAGGGGTGAATGGATAAAGATGAAGATCACTGATTAAACATGCAGCTCTCCAGACGTTACTTAGCTGTTTTGATATCCTTTAATAGTGTTTGTTAAAACACTGCTGAACATGGCTCCTACAGTATATGTGTGAAATGCTCTGCGAGGAGCAGCAGTCAAGGATTACTCTTGTTTCTCCAAGGCTGCTTTATTCACTGCCTCTTACCTTTTTCTCTGTCCTTTTAATGCCTTGCTGCATAACCAATCGCCCTTCTGGGACAAATAGGGTTGAAGTAGAGTTGAAATCTTTAGAGTATGTATACTGTAGAATATACGCTCAGTTACAGTTAGTATGAGGTTTAGTATAAAAGCCATGCTGCTTTTCTTACCTCACCATCAGCTGGGTTGCTGACAAGTGTGTTCTGGTTCATCTGTTTTAAAGGACATTTAGTGGTAGAAAGTCAGGTACAATTTATCTTTATACTACAGTACATCTACCTTTTTGTACTTTGACCCTAAATGTGCCTTACTGTCTAGTTCTTAGTAGATTTGAGAATCAGATTCTTTAAACAAAATATTGAAACTATAGGAAACAGAACAGCTTTTGGCTCCCTTCGTTAACAATGTATTGACATATATGACCTGTCTATGGAGGGCTAGCAGCAGTACCACTAATTAAATGTCCACTCTTCCACTCAAGTTCAAAAGGGAAGCCTAAATATTTAGTCAGAGAAAGGGTTGATTATATAAATACAAAGTTGGTTTGGTTTGGACATTTTGTTTTGAAATGGTTGGATAGAGCCGCTCAACTGTAAATGAACCAGTTCAAACGAGCTCCACAAGCTACAAGAGTAAAATGCTGCTCATCCACTATAGCATAAGTATTTAAAATTGAATAACATGGGGTGTCGGTAGCCTGGTGTTTAATGCGTGAGCCCCAAGTACAGAGGCCCAGACCTGTGGCTGCTTTAACACATGTCATCCCTCACCCTGGCTTCTGACTCTATCCACTGTCCTATCTTTAGGAAAAAAAATCTTAACTTACTAACTTCACAGACGCAGCAAATGGGTGCATGTTGCTGATAATGCCTCTGTACCTTTCTGTGGAATTTTGAATAGAGGGTTTGTACATGTAACGTTTTCATAGTTGAAGTATTTTTAACCTGAGTTAAGGATCTTTGTCCTTTTACCACCACTGAGGAATCTGACACTGATAACATCACTCTCCTTGCTATAATCGAAGCAGCAGCTACTTCAGCAAAGCAGAGAAAGACATCAATCCATGATTCTCATTGACTTGTCTTCCTGTAAAAAAAATACACAAGCTAACAGCATCAAGATGATGATGCAATTAATCTCACTGTCGTTCATTCAGGACACATCAAACACAGTTCATCTATGTAGACAGATGCTATCCAGAAATGGATTTTAAGTATCGATATGATCCACTCAGTGATCAAATTCTTAGTTCATATTCAGACACACAAAGACATCCACACAAAGAATCCAAACGGTGTGCAAAAGTAAACTAAGAACTCTTTTATTCTTTTTTGTTCATTTTATATATCTATCTTTAGATGTTTATTTTCTTTTTTTTTTTTATCTACTCGAGTCCTTTAAAAGTTTTGTCATCATGCGAGGTGCAGCTTCAGTGTTGGTAGTACATGCAAGGTTGTGGATTTTTGTCGGTGGTTTTTTCACACATCGGACAGCTGGAGAGAGAGAGAGAGAGAACGGGCATCTGAAACCCTGAGCGGACACACATCGACCACTCTGGAGTCACCATAAAAAAAAAAATTAAAAAAAAGGAAAGAAAAGAAAGATCCACTACAGACGCAGCTGCATGAAGGGATACTGACCATCATCGAGGATTCACAAAGGGTTAAGCAGAAGCGGTTCAGTTCTTGCTGTGATAGTTACCATCCAATCCAGAGACAGGGATGGTTTTATATCATGACATCATCAGTTGACATCGTTAGTGCAGTCAAAGGAGAAAGAAAACAAATCTACAAGCAGGCAGTCTTAAGGGGCGAAATATACAAAATAAAACCTCAGACAGCTTTGTAGAGAGAGAAAAACACAGAGGAAGAACAGAGAGTGGAGGAGCGGGGGGGTGGGGGGTGGGGGGGGGGACTTCATTCAGACTCCTGTTTGTGACAGCTGACATTAAAGGAGACATCAGGAGTATTGCTTGTGACTTTGGTCTGGGTCTATTTGTCAGGGGTGGGGGGGGGGGGGCTTTGGATCCTGACATTTTCTGTGATTATTTTTGCAACCAAATTTCAAAGTTTCCACCTTCCAAGTCGACACCGGTAGCTTCCACTTCCTGCTGTTCTAATGCTGACTTATAAAACAACCAAATATATACGTAAAAAATAAAAAGAATGTACATTTATGACATCACACGTGCCAGCTGGTGGATGCCACTTTTAGCTGAGACACCATACAGTGCATATTTTTCTTTTTGTATAACATAGGTGGCTACAATGGGGACGAAGCCTGTTAACCCCGGCAGTGTTCGTGCCATGCTTTACGGTGCCCGGCGTGTCACAGAGAACCACAAATTAACATCTTCACAATCCCAGCAAACAGTTTCCAGATGGGATGAACTGATTGTACAGGTAACAGATTTTGTCATTTTTTTTTGTTGTTGTTGTTCCTTATATACACAGAAATACTTCACGGCAGCAGTAATGATTGCAGGTCACAATATACACGTTGGCCACCGACGGCTACAGATGCACTAAAGAAGCCTGACAATTCATTTACCCCCCCCCCCCCCCCCCCCACCACCCACCACCCCACACACTGGTAGAATATACAGATTTTGTACAAATCAAAATACAGTGTTTAGAGGATATACAAAAAGCAAACAGTAAAGGGTTGATTTTTTTTTTTAACAGGAAAAAGGACGAGATATTAATAAAAGAGAGAGGGGAAACACAGATGGACATCATCATCTTTGGTGAAGATTCCACAGAGTACGCTTTGACACACACACACACACACATACACGCACTAGCATACATGTTTCATACAGCTGGGAATATGGATTCACTCAAGTTATTTTGAAAAACACGTCCTCGTTTACAGATTTCAAAGAAGAGGACATTCAGCATGTAAAGATGGCAGGTTGGATTCACAAAGGTGTTCTTTAAACTAACATGTCTGCAGATGGAGGAGAGAGGAGAAAGGAAGTGACATCACACTGAAACATTTGGTTATAACCTACTGGTTTTATCAGATATTTGCATAAAGGGAATGCATGTTATTGTACTGGACCTCTGTTGTTTTTTTTTTTTTAAATCATATGGAGGGATTACAACATGTTAGCATTCCAGGCTATCACTACAGACTGTGTTGCATCTAGTGAATGTAACGTCATATACTGTGTGAGTCTCTACAGCACATAGACCATGCTTTCTATTAATAGTTCAACTGACAGCTACCATGAATCCCTGCCACAAAGTTTACGTAGTTACAAGATCTGAGAGAGAGGTCTGTTTATGTGGTATTCACTGCAGTATTATCCCCGATTCCTCAAATGCCCCCAAAAACAAGAAAACAACAACAATGAAACAAACAAACAAACAAAAAAAGACGGCCCATTCCCTCCCTCCCCCTGAAACAAACAATCCCGAGAAATCTAGAAAATAGAGACAAAGATTCAAAGCTGCCTGTGGAGGAAGATGCTGGCATTCATTCAAAAAAAATCATTCACTGATGGACGCTCTCCACCACGTGTTTTTCTTCGACTCTGTACGCCTCCCAGTTCAGTTCCCATGCAAAGCCATGGCTTGGATTGAGGAAAAAAAATACAACGTGCAGCCACTCCAAAAAAGCTTGTCCCAAGACCCAGGCGAGGAGGAGGAGGAGGAGGAGTCATAGTCCCCTCCCACAGTTCAATTATGGAATGAGAGTGACATGAAAACGTATGAAGAAATGGAAAAACATAAAGAACAACAAAGTACTAATCTGCTCTTTCCAGTCAGTGAATCACACAGGACCACGATCTTTTGTCACATTTTTGTCTTTAATAAGAGGGGATAAGAACAGTCTCACTTAAGGACCCGACCAAATACCACATATTAACTGTTCTATTTTCTGTCTCTTTCATTTTAATACTAGATTTACATCCTGAAGATTTAGTCATATTTAAATTAAATTTCATGGTTCATTTTAGCTAGTAGAGATATATATATATATATATATATATATATATATATATATATATATAATTTAGGTCCATACAAATGATTCTAGTGAACAAGGATCCCGTGTTTCTAGGCTACATTTAACCCTCATCGATCAAGAAAAATAGACACAACTCAATCATTTCAATTTTTACATCTACGGCATAAAAACAGAATTGCTCTGGGAAACATAAACAACTCAGACATGTAAAAACCATGGTTCCAGTTTTAAAACAGAAAACAAGCAGATGAAAAAACATCATGGGTCGAACTCATAATAAAAAGGACAAAAATCAACATGATGGTTAAAGACAACGTGAGGCAGACGTCCTCTGAGGAATGACAACGATGAGCTATGGATGGTTTGTGAAACGACACACTTATTTCCACAAGTACAAAGTGCACGTGCGTGTCGACACACGGGACGGAGGTAAGTCTCTCTGTGGGCTGGTTGTTAATAAAGGGGGGGGGGGGGGGCTTCTTGCTTTCAGGCCTGGGTCAGGAGAGGAGGAGTGGAGAGAGGGTTTAGGGTTCCCTTGGTCCCTGGACTCCCTCAGGAGCTGTTGGAGAACTGGTCTTGCTCGATGGGCTTTTTGACCCAGGCCCCCAGGCCGGCCTTGTGGAAGGCTTTGATGAGCGCCTGCTTGGCAGAGTGGTACTCTGTGGCGGCCTGCTTGGCTTCATGGTAGGAGTTGGGCTTCAGCATCTTGATCCACAAGATGGACGACAACTAACATGGTCAGAAAAAAAGACAAAAAGTAAGTCATATGATTAAAAAATGAATGAGTAATCATCTAAAATTAAAGGGTGGTTGTATGTGGTGATACTATAACACTGAGTGGATTTTGAATGAGTGAAACATCAAGAGGAAACATAGCAACACAGGCCAAAACCAATATTTATTAAACTACCTTGGAGTGTAGGCGCACCCAGCGGCTGTAGAGGGCATGCTTGCAGAGACGAGAGGCGCGGCCCATGTCGTCCTTGCCTGTAGTTGCATTAATTACCTCCAGCGCCTGGTCACCCACCGTCCAGTTCACGCTGAAGTTGGGGGCCTTCCCCGGCTGCCTGGCTTCTGCGTTACTTATACCTGGAATTAAAAAAAAAACAATGTGTTACAGACTTAACAGCACAACACAGAAAACGTTCCATTCCCATACTAATTAAATTATTAAAAACACTTAACAATACCCCTACCTGTTTCCATGGCAACAAAGAAAAATAGTGGAAGGTACAGAATATTGGGGAATTTCTTCTTATGAATGAATAAATACAGCAAGCCATCTCATCCACACTGACGTAAAGTAAAGTAAAGTACTCAGTCAACTGAGTCTGAAATCTCTTTTAAATCCTTCTCAACATACTTTTATCGGCAAGCCTTTCAGGATTTTTTTTCAGATTATAACTGAATTGAAATGGAAAATCATTTAAAGCTTAACGCAGCAACACAAGCCATTCTACTCCAAGGCATTGATAAAACAATGGAAAACAAAAGAACCAAGCAACTTTTTCCCGTTCATTTTCTAGTTGTCATGCTGGGTAGAAACAAAATATCATCCACCGAGGGGGAATCTGAGGTCAAAGCCTGCTCTCTCCCAGCAAACCACAGGGCACAGGCCTCCACAGTACCTGAAGCATAACTGTGAGATATATGGACGCCATAAATTCAGGTTTCTTGCACTGTGTGTATATCAGTGTGTGTGTGTGTGTGTGTGTGTGTGTGTGTGTGTGTGTGTGTGTATTAAGCTTCTTGGTTCCATTTGGCAGCACTTGTGGCAGCAGATGATTTAAAGGGGATGAAATCCTTAGTGCTCTAACACCACAGTGCTTCACCGCTAAAAACTCTCTAAAGCGGAAAAGGTTAATAACCTCCAACCATTATCTCCCTTACCCGCCATTTAGGGAGCAACCAGAGGGGAGGAGCAGGAGGAGCTGATAGCTGCTTGTCATCCATAAGATATAAACCAATGACCACAATGTCCCTTCACCAGGTTAATGCAGAGTGTTGGAGTAGCCATTGCTGTAATCAGCTGTCAAGCTTTAGACTTCTGCATTTAAAGACTGAGAAATGTGACTTTTAGCCTTTCATAAACCAGTACCAAAGCTAACCATTAGCTTAACTACCTACACCAGTCATAAGTTATTAACATCATTAACAGCTGAAACTGCCACAAATCATTTCCCCGCAGTGTTGAAGTTGATCTTAAAATTAGCCATTAGCTATCGATTTGGCTTGAGTATGTTTAGACTCAATAAAACCAAGTAAAAATTACATATCATAGTTAGCATCATGCTAAAAGCCCTCTCTTTGGTTAAAATCATTATAATTACAAACAGTATTAATATATATTATCTGATTCTGTTTTTGAAAGGAGGTTGTAACACTGTAAAGTCAGTTAGCTAATCATAGCCAATTGCAGCTGACAGTTCTCCATTCAGTCAGAGAAAATAACACTCCTGAAATTATGATTTAATTTACTGCTGGTTAACCTGTTGTTTAATAAACAACCAGGACTTTCAGTTTCATTGGTAAATCTGCGGCTTTGTGTGTGTTTCATTCAAGAGACGGGATTAGCAAAAGCTAGCTATAGGTAAAAAGGTCTAGGCATTCAAAAGTCATACTTGCCCTGTAGGTTGTAGGCTCAGAAAAAGGTTTGTAAAATCTAAAACTTCTTAAGAGTCACATATTAATCCATTTATCTAAATGCATATATTAAAAATGTGGAATTACTGCGTGTTTTTCTGATGTATTCGTATTTCTTCATATATATCGTGTTGTGAATATTTAACTGCATTTAAAATGTATCGGTACTTCTATTTATTTCCTATTTTCTCCATATTTCTATTCTGTAGAGGAGCAACTAGAACGCCTCCATTTCCTCCTGGGATTAATGAAGTGTTTCTGATTCTGATGCTGATACATGCTAATGTTTAACAAATAGACAAAGACTGAGTGCAACGTAAATATGGCCTTTATAAAAAGGTCAGGCTAATGCTGAACATTTACAAAGAAAATGATAAAGCTATTCAAATTCCACACGAAGAAGGTAAATGTCAGCTCAGACCAAACAGAGGAGAGAAGCAATAACTGCCTCCCTGCTGTGGACTGACTAGTGAGGATGGATAGATGTGTTTACTGATCAGCATAAGCATCTTCCTCTTTGATATTTACACAGCTTGAGTTTGACTGGCAGAGATAAACATGGAGATTCCCTCAAAATAGAATCATTCAATTACATCTGAGAGCTCTTAGCCGAAATTGTACCAGAGGGAACAGTTATTTATTTATTTGCTCACCGCTGAGTAGAGGCCTGTTGAGAGTGAACTGCTGTGGCAGGTCCTCGATGTCTGCGATGCGCTGGTACATGGCCCTTGAGAGGTGGTCAGCGTGGTAGAGACTGCCGAGGATGATGCTGGAGAAGTAGATTGGTTCTGAGAAGTAGCTCATCAAAGAGCCCTGAATGCCCACCACATTCCACCTGTGACAAATGAAAAACACACTGATTAGATAAACTGAAGTGGGGGGGGGGGGCGGGGGGCTGCTGCCAATATGCTTTTATATCTATGTGACAGTTAAATGAAAAACACCTCAGTAACAGCAACAACCTGCTGCATTAACTGCCAATCATTAGTCAAGAAATCTTGGGAACAACAGTCAAACAATTCACATTCCTGAGCTCTTGAAGATGTTTTCACAAATGCACTCCTGAGAATTTCTGACATTATAATGAGAGGTTTGCTTTTATTCCAATGTTTACTGTTATCTGAGGAATCCACAGTATCAACAAAAGAGTGGAAAAGAACTCAACTTAACACTGAAATCATTATAAAAACAGTTTAATTGTATGGCAGAAGATTGCACCAGTCATGTACCAGTTGCATGACATAAACATCTATATCCCCTGCAGGCTCGCTTGCGGTTCATTTTCCTGCTGTTTTCTCATAGCTACTGTCCCCAACTTAACACTGAAATCATACTAGGGGGCTAGCAGGAAAAAGTCCAGGTAAAGTGGGGTGAAAACTGTGACTCTTAGCGTTGAAAGAGCAACAGGAAACACCATCTTTCTTCCATCATTTTCTCCTTTACTTTGTAGTTGTTACAACAAACTGCGATCTCCTGGTTGTTCTAACCATGAAGGTACACTTCCAAAAATACTGGATAACTTTCAACAGTTGCCACTTCACCAAGCTTCCACCAAGCGGTCCAGTTTGGTTCAGTACAGATTGGTACGGTTCGATTTGGTACCCTGATCTTGCCTGCGTTTCCACAGCCAACCGTACCCCTTACTTTGTAAGCAAAGTGTAAGCCAGAAAGCGACAGCGGCATCCGCTACTAAGAGCGAGACATCTTTGCAGTGTAACACAATGGAGGACGTCCAGCAGAGACCTCTAGGGTCGTCCACTGGGCAGTGCTAGGTGCTGATATTAGTCGTGATAAACAAATAAAACACAACCATGGAATGAATCTCTCGCAAATCCACAGGATATTTAAACATGCCGTGTTTTGTGTTTGTCCTTTATTACCGCTGTTGCATGGGAAGTGATGATCATTTGGACAAATCAACGAACTGCAGTGTGTCTTGATCCAGTCTTTAGGATCAGATCGGTACGCTAGGCACCCCAATAGAAGGGTATAAAAAAATGAGGACGGTATGGATCGGTTATTTTGGTACCATTCCCATACCATACTGAAACGAACTGAACAGGACCGCTTGGACTAGCTTTATCAATCAATATAACTGAACTGAAAAGGGCTGAGAGTCTGAGCTTTGAGTTGAGGAATTGTGTTGTGAAAGATAAAAAGGGTTTCCCCCTTTTAACACAATTCCTTAAAAGTTTTTTAAGCATTGAAAAGTTAAGAAGCAGAATATACAAAGACATATAAAAATGTTGTTTGCGCATGAGTTGAAACAAACATACAAGCGCACAAGCAGAATATATCAGTACATCAGCAGTCAATGCAACCCACTACACACAATCGCACACAACCCTACAGCTGTGTTCACTCCGAGGTATCCAATTTCATTTTCTACAAACTTCTGTGTATTTCTACGTTGTGTTATTAACCATCTCTCCCTAGTCATTTTCCCATTGACATGCTCTGTGAAGCCTGCCCACCACCAGCGAGGGGGAGAGGGGGGGAGAGAGAGAGAGAGCGAGAGAGAGAGAGAGAGAGAGAAAGGGGGAAGGAAGCAAAACAGAAAAAACAGAAAGCAGGGAGGGAGATGAAGACAGGGTGGGGGAGCATGAGGAGTGAGACAAAAGAAGTGAGGAGAAAGGTGAATGACAGTGGGAAGAAAATGAAAGAGAAGTTGAAAGAGAGAAAAAGTTGGATACAGTTGAAATATTGAAAAAATGAAGTTGAGTGTTATTCTATATGATAAGACCAAAATAAAAAATAGTTAAGATCATTTCAGTCCCTAAAGACATTACCATTGATATCTTGGCACTGTGTTATTTAGCATACAGTATCTTAAAAGGAGAAACAGCATGTCTGTAAGGGACTATTTTCAGATGAGAGTATAAGTTAAATTAAGTTAACAGAAACTACAGTACCTATGTGTAAGAAAGTAGAAAAGGATCAATTTATCCACAGTAAAAGAAAGGCTCGATCACATGTTGAGCTCAACTGGGCAAGCTTAATAATGATTTTATAAAGACTGAATGATTGAACAACTTTAGCTTGAAGGACTAACCAAATTAATAATGACACAAAGTGACACTGAGCTTTTCTCGTTCCTTCTTTCCCTTTAGGCAGACTGTTGGAGACCGTGTGAAATTACCAACATGGAACAAGAACAATGAAGTATATGCAAGCGAAGACCCCAGGCTACTTAGAGGGGCCGCTGTTTCTACATGCAATATTCTCTCTCTCGCTGTATGTGTGTGTGTTTGTGTGTAAGAGAGGGAGAGAGTGCGTGATATTGTGTGCGAAACTGAGGCAATTCAATCTGTGATTTCATAGCTTAGAGCAGTGGAGGACACGTTCAATACAGTCGAATAGCTACAATATATTCTGTGCCGTCCACAAAGTGTAGAAGCAAAACAACATCAGGATTAAAAAAAAAAACACTCAAAGTATATACAAAGAACCACAAATATGCAAGGGCACACATATTGAGTTATGTTTTCTAAGGCAGTCGATTTCCTTCTCGTCAAACTTGACTGTAACACTTTGCGGTTATCTTATTCAGCATCGTTGTGCACAATGAGTCTGAGAGCAGGTGAACAAGTCTGATTGCCAATGCAATCAAAAGAACATAAAGACGGGAGGAAACAGGACAAACAGAGAGAAATAACCCATGAGTGCTTTGCCTGTCTGCTAATGAGCTCAATCAAATATAAGGGAAACGATGAACACCGAGGCAGAGCACTGCTCGTTCTGTCGAGGCCTCGGGGGCCGGGCATGTAATCAAAGCAAAATGAGAGGGGGGAAACAATGTGTAAGGAGGGAACATTACAGGCACGGTCAAAGTATGCCAGTCAGTTTGTGCTGTGTTAAATAGCAGCCCTGCGGCATACAATCACTCACATGCGGACTGGAGCAGGTGGACAGCAGATCCCTCATCTGGCAAAAATGACTCTTTGGCAAACTGGGAAGCCTTAAATAGTTTTTCCTTACAATGGAATGGATGCATTTAAAATACTAATCCCCTGAAGTACCTGTAAAGGTGTAATTTTGTGATGATCTGATTCTGAATTGAAACTATAGCTGAAATCCATGTTTTATTTTTTTGTAATCTACAACTTGGCATGAACAAACCCTCATGACAAACGTATGTTGCCCTCTGCTGACTTGGATCGCTCCACTTTTGGACATCAACACAAAGTCTGAATCGGTAGTATCAGTGCTGTCTGCCTGAAAGTGCAACATCTCTTTTTTTATACACAACAAACAACATTTGCTACACAGTCTACATCACCCTCATCAAATAAACGCTCAGCAGTCAATCACTCAGTTCATTTGGGGAAGGTGTTATGATCCTGAACGGAGAAGGAAAAAGAGGAGGAGGAGGGGGAAGGGGACTGCTTCTGTGAAGAGTTATGGAGAAGTGTCATGGTTCATCAAAAGAGAGGCACAGAGTTGCCTTGAACATGGACAGAGACTAAAGATGCTTTGATCTGTCTGCAAAAAAAAAAAGATCTAAGGACAAGAGGATCCATCAATCCAGCTGTCCCTGACACACCCAGAACAAAATGATAGACTGGAAATGACAAAGTGACTCATTGCAGCGTGGGTAAATAAAACACACACACACACACACACACACACACACACACACACACACACACACACACACACACACACAGAAAAGAAGTATAAAAAGAGTATCATGAAATATGTTTCTTTTTGGAAAAATATGGATTTATTGCAGATTTCTAAGCATGAAAGGAAAGTGAAATTAACATACTTGTAGTTTATTCAGCTACAGCAGAGAGTGTATTAACAAACAGTGGAGTAAGGATTGGGATTAAAAGTGAAGTGAAGCCAATGTAGAAGTACCATTAACCTGCATTCTTTCTCATAACTAAAGCTCAGCTGCTTATATTCAGCCAATCAGAACAAAGCAACAGCATATGCTTAAGCTTAAAGCTCCTCTCACTTCACTTTTAAATGTCAGTAATAATAATACACCTCAGTTTCTAGAATTCCCAGAATTCTTTTTTCTCTTGGGTCCCAGACCTCAGAGAAACACACGGCTACTAAGGGTTTAGGATTCCCAGAATTCAATGGGTGATCTCTCAGTAAAATGTACTTTGTAAAAAGGAATTGTTTAACATTTAAATTAATTGTAATTCTGGCTGAGAGTTACTGCAAACAACAAACAACAACATGCCTGTTAATGAATGTGTCAGAACTAGAGAAATGGACCGACTTAGGCTGTACAGTAACTTCATATTAAGCATAAAGACACCAAAGTGGTACCAATGTTCTCATCTGACTCTTGGCATGAACATCATTATGCACATATTAAAGAGAAAACAAAGCTGAAAGTCATAGGAACATTAACGAACATTAAAACACAGCCTACATCTGTAGTAAAACTTTCTTTGAATTAGTGAATTCAATTTGTACCAACTTACCTTGCGATCTTGTCACTACAAGACATGGTGAGTAACCTCTCCCCCTGCAGCACCCCGTCCCAGGTCTGGATGGTGTTGCTGGACCTTACAGGGATGGTGCCCTCCCCCGACTCAATTTTGGTCCTTAACTGGCCCCGTGCTTTCCGGTTGGGATGTCTGTCTCCCTGGTCTGGATCATACATGACAATAACAAAGGTATTAATGCAGAAAACAGTAGAAGGAATCACAAACTGACTCCCTGTGTCATCGCTTGTATGTCTATTTTAGGACTATAATATAGATGTATATTATTTCAGTATGTAAATCGACTACACAGGACACCTGTGCAAGAAATGTAGGTCCCTATTATGATGCAAATATATACATACATCGTTATGAGGTAAAAAAAAAAAAAGATTCAGAGAAAAGAAAGCAAAATCTTAGCTTCAACAAAGCATGACCCGTTATTTGGGATTATGTTATCAATGTTTTCTGCTGTTCCACCAGCAGGCGCCATCTATTCAGTGACTAATTGAATGTGGCTGTTTTCTATTCAGTCTGCCATGTGCAACCGAAAACACTTTGACAAGTGTAAGAGGGAGGTTAATCAGACAGACAGTGTGGGTGTGCTGGGCAGGAGGAGGACTGATAGAGACAGACAGCGAATGACAAAAAGCTCTAATTACTCGAGCCTTGTTTAAATGTGTCTGTAATGCGTGTTTGCGCGTCGCAGTCAAATTCTAATTAAATGAAACCAAGCATGAGGACGGAGAAAACCTAGCGATGTAATTCAATAACAAACACACACTGTTGTTTAGCCTGGATTGTGAGCGAAGATGAGATCAAATTTAAAGCATGTTGTTAGAGCTACACAGCACAGACATGGCTGCTGTGAGGCAGGAAGCGGACGCTCCACTCTGTCACTCTGTACCTTCAACGCCGGCCTCGTGAGGGGAGAAGATCCGGGCGTCTCCGCAGGGCGAGGTGCTGATGTAGAGGTGGAACTGAACGTTGTCCTTTAACCTGTAGCCTCCCTTTTCACACGGCACGAATATCGATCTCTGATGGTCTTCCTTGTTGTTGCTATGACAACCAGACAAATGACACCGTAAATATGTGGCTAAGAAACTGGACTTGAAAGAACGTTATTAGATACGGTGAAGATTACGACATGAGATTATCTACGCTAACGAATAATAAACTTCACTTCAAGAAAACACATTCACACCGTCCACTGACCTGAGGAAGAACTCCAGCTGGGAGTAGAGGTACCTGATGAGCGAGCGTCGGGCGATTATCTCAGCGTGACAGTCGTTGAGAGCCAAGCCGCGGTCGCTCATGTACTCACCGTTGATGCATTTGGTTCCTGTGGAGACACAAATGACCTGTGCCTCCTTTACATCTGTACCTGTGCGAGGTAAAGGGAACAAAGACATATCAGTGAATGGACACGCCCCCTAAAATATAATTTTACATCAGCTGTTGGTTTTTAGTGTGTTTCAATGGTAACTTCGTGATAAGACAGAGTGCAATATTTAGCACATTTAAAAAAAGCTAAGTTTAGCTCTTGTCCTTGAGTTACCCTGCAGAAAGCCATATTAACTGGTCAGCTGTCACCAAACACAGTTTATAAAAGGTACTTCTGTAGCTTATGGAGGCAGCAGCAGACACATACTATTATTCCTGTAAAGTGACAGCTTAAAGGAGTCATTGCTTTTTTAAATAGTAGTGAGGAAAGAACCATGCTGTCAAAATAAAAACTGCACTTTAAGTTTTAAAAGTAATAATGATAGTTTAATACTTATGTATTGATGTTTTAGTATTATTATCCTTTGGGGTTGCCTGTGTGGAACTAATTGTTTAGTCTGCCTTCAACTCAAACTACGTTCTACACACTGTTAATTGACGTACGTCTGACCTTCAGTGAGCAGAATTTGAGACTAGAAGGCGGATCTCACTTGAATCTGCTGATGGGGGATCATTTCTTATGTCTCAGTTTGAGTTTGTATGTATGAAGAAAGATTTTTTTTTTTACATCAGATGCCAGGATGTAACAAACACAGGTGGGATTTGGAAACTTGGAAAACCTTAGAGCAACCCCACTGGAAAAAAATGTATTCTTATTTTAAAAAAAGCAGAATGAAACATCTCCTGGGGTTTATAACCTGTCTTATATGTTGCTGAATTGTTTGATTCTTTAGAATGTTTTTTAGTTTTATAAACTCAACATATTTATTAACATGTATATGTTTTTAAAAGGTTAAGGTATTGATTGAAGTCAAGTAAAAAAAAGGTAAAAAAAAAAAAAAAAATTTATTAACACTCCACCACTGGTGACAGGACTGAACATAAAACTGTGTTTAACTCATTAGTGTTAGCTGCTAAATAGATCATTGATTTCTCAGGAGACATTTAAAGAAGAGACCTGAGCATGTTGCTACTTAACTGTGAATAATAATATCAACTTGTTTCTGTGAACCATGCAACCTTAATTGTCCTACGGTTAATATTGAAAAGTGACAATCAGTGCCATGTTTTGTGAGGATAAAAAGAACCAACCATCTCTCCTTCCAAATGTACCTGTTGTCATGACAACCCCTGCTAGGACTTTCCGACGAGCATGGGGGGAGGTGAAGTTGTCTGTCAGCTCACTGAACTTATCCACCACCAGACGAGAGACGGCGTCAGCCAGAACCTAGAATCACACGCACGCACGCACACACGCACACACGCACACACGCACACACACACGCACACACACACACACGCACGCACACACGCACACGCGCACGCACGCACACACGCACGCGCACACACACACACACACACAGATACAGAAGAAAAACACATCCACACAAACATGAGCTTGTGTCAGATGTGTCAGCTTACAAAGCGCGTCTGATGTTATCCTCCCCTGGAGCACCATGTACCTGTCACAGCGTTCAAATTCAGCTCCAAAACAAGAGTCAGAGCGTTGAAACGGCAACAAGTGAAACTGGGTTGACCCCCTGAGGGATACCTAACAGTCTTTCAAGCAGCGCTGTCTCAGTTTGGCGTGACAGTTATAATTTATCATCTCCCATCTGACGGTGAATCACAAAAAGCAACAACCAAAGAAGGGTAGCTGAGCAGCACATGTAAGCAAAGTGTTCATTGCACAAGGTTTCAAACTCCCATCTAAACTCTGTAAGAGCCTCAAGTGAACTTCACACATCTTTTGTTCTTGGACAGCCCCATCCTCTTGCTGGCTCTTTATCCATTGCTAATGTGATGGAAAACGACGAGAACCAAGAGAGAGAAGACGGCTGGATGACCACAAATTAAAGAGATTAGTCCAATATTACTTCCCTGCCACTTCAAAGTCACCCACTCGTAGCCAGATCATTTGACTTTCGCAATTCAAGGTCGCATATGGTATAAAAATGATTTTAAATCCATAGTGGTTGAAAAAAGTGAAAGTCCTAATCCCTCTAGAAAAAAAGGGAGATCTTGAAAGTAACATTTCCCTTCAAGCAAGAATAAAAGGTCTGTTATTTTCCCCACTGCGTGATTCAATATTTCTAAGCTTTAATGGTTGAAGTGTCAACAAAAACAAGTTAAACTATAAAATACAAACGCAAAGTTCAAATATTCTTTTGAAAAAGTGGATTCTAACCATTTCCCCCCCATTAGCTCCTTGCCAGATGGAAACAGGCAGCAGGAATTAAATACCAAGCGACAGAGAATTAATCGAGCAATTAGTGGGGTCGTTGTCGTTAAAATGGGGGTGCTTGTTGAATAAATCAGTTGTGAGAAAGTGGAAAGAGGGAGTTAAGGAGGAAAAAGAAGGCTCTGGGGAGTGGACTGTTGACAGTGTGTGGTGCTGATTAGCTTAGCTGACTGTTTTATTCCTCTTCACACACTGGCATGGCTCTTGTAGTGACTTCTTCAGAGGCGTATAAAGCAACAACCAGCCTCAGCGTACCTGATGTGAATGAGGTTTAGAAGATAACCTACCCGGACAGCAGAGTATAACCGGTCAGGATGTCAAAAACAAGTGAAAAAAACTTGGGAATCCAAAAGTTTAACGCAGGAAACAACCAAAAAGACCTCATTCAACATTTAACAATAATGCTTTCATTTTATGTAGTCTGGTCACCTCTCTGAGGAGTGGTTGATCAATTTTATTATGGTGATATAAACAGCATTTCATTCTGAAATACACTCAACAGAGAGGGGGGCTATACTTTATCTGAAAACTTCAACCAAGATTAAAAAAGGACATAACTCAGGGAGAAATATGTAACAACCAGCATAAGAATCCTGACTACCGCTTTGACAGTGTACTAAAAATCTACTGTATAATGTTTTAAAAAACATATTAAAAAAATGATACAGTCCCTTGCCTTTTATTAACCATCACTTGGTTATTTCCAACCCTTCTTAAATTCTCATGATGGTTTTAAGCCAACTGATGATTGGGCAGGTCAGATTAAGAAAGCTCTACTTGAAACATAATACTACTGTCACTGAAATGCCATTACTTATTTTAATACAAAAAAATAATATATCTGAGTATCTGAGATCCAGAGTAACTTCCCCAAACTATCCTTGAGAGTTCTTCTCTATTAATATTTTCTGTAAACATGTCTACAAGGAATATTACATTGTCTCCAATGTTGACTATTGATGAGTTTATTCAAATCAACAGCCTCTCACAGTATCATTGTCCAACATCATGGTCCCTTACGTTGAAGGGCCTAAAATATGCATGAGCCAAGACAGGATTTAAGTCTGATTATATGTTTTTTTTATTTCAATCAAAGCGGTGTTGGGGCTAAACCTTATTCTATATGCATGACTTGCATTTTGATGATGCCCAATTTAGTCCAAAAGTTTCTGATCTGATCTGGTAAGTATCTGTACCAATTTCCAATTAAAAAGAAAACACATTTCTTACCTGGGGTAGATGAAGCTGTAATCCCTCTCTTGGAATGGGTTGTCGGGATGGTGTCTGGTCTAGCTGCATGTTGAAGAGAGCTGAGAGGGCTGCCTGCGCTGCCCGGGCTTTAGCCAGCTTCTTGTTGCGCCCTGAACCTTCAAACGTCTGTGAATCCACTGTTACTGACATCACAAAATTCTTGGCGTGACTCTCCCCACTCTCTGACACAAAGTCATATTTGAGGCCTGGCCTGAGCTCATTGAGGATCATGACTGGGTTTTTGCCACTGGAAGGTGAGCTGAATGCTGATGGAGGGGGCAAGGGGGCCTGAACAAGGTTGCTGCCAGGTGGCGTGGGCAGTGGGTACTCCCCTATTGAGTTTAAGGAGCTGCTACCATTGGAGCCTACATAGAAGGATTCTTCAGGTGCGGCTGGTGTCTCAAAGCCATTGAAGAGCATGTCTGGGAAGTCAGCCTGGTCAGAAGTAAAGTCTGTGTTCACTGTCAGTGTTCGACCCATGGCCAGGTGTGCCTCAGATGCATTGGGGAACTGGACAAAGGAACGCAGCGCTTTCTCAGCTGCATTCAGTTTAGCTTTCTTCTTAGTTGGGCCCATGCCCTCAAACATCTGTCCATTGACCTCAACAGTCATGACAAACACTGGTGCATGGACTGGTCCTGTCTGAGACAGCAGTTTGTACTGTAGACCAGGTTTGATTTCATTCAACTGCATCAGAGCGTTTTTGGGCAGGACTGGCCCCGGTGTTTTCTTGCGCTTTTTGGCACGAAACTTTGAGTGTGTATGTCCATTGTTCCCCTCTTCTAGGGGCCGCTTTCGACTGCCCAGGCCGCTGCCATTTGGGAGCTGCTCAGCCACTCCCATCCCGTCTTTGCAGGACACGTTGTCCAGGTTGCGGTTTTCCTTAACATCGGTGCTGCTCGAACCTGCGGTGCCCAGAAAGAGTAACTTACAACGCCTTCGTTGCAGGATCTTGTAAATGCAAAATTTATAGATTCCTTTATCACTCTTTGGAACTGAACCAATGATTTGTGTTCCATCATAGAATCAAGTGAAGCTGACATTTATTTTAATTGAACATATTAGGCTTTAGTCTATCGATATCACTACAACTGAAGAACACCAACAGTATATGTACTTCTCTAAGTGGCATGCAGATTTCTTAGAGGTGAACCTTGGCCAATAAGTAAAATCATGTAGAAAATTTCAGAATTTACTTTGTTATATGGAATTTCATTAGTTCAATGGATATTAATTAACTTCATATCTAAAGTTGAACTTATGACAGTTTGTTATTTTAAAGGTTAGGGTAAAGTGGGAGAAGAATATTAAACTTTTCAGGTTGCAAAGTGTTATGATTCTACAACAAAAATGCACACAAATACAAGCACATATTTCATAACTAAACAGAGACACACACACACAGAGAGCTGCTTCTCATCCACTCTATCAATTTTAAATGGCTTGAGTGCCTACACAGAAATTGGGTACATTTTAAGTGTTCAGTTTTTAACTGCAGGCTCTGAAATACACCGTACTGGGGAACACATATCACTGAATCCAGTTAGCAAAGTGGATGGAATATTGGCAAAAATTTTCATTTATAACATCCTTCAGCAAAGGCTTGATAGGTTACTCCTTGCGGTACTCAGGAGAAAGAGAGGCCGCAGTGTGCATGAGTGGGATTGTAGGTCGGGTTGAGGGAGTGCAAGGGAGAAGTGCAGGGAGAGGAGCTGAGGACCAGGCAAAGAGGAGAATACATCAAAGAGGCAGAAGGAGAAGTCTCCACCTACTGCAGGATCCTAAAGGCTTGACTGGTGACACGCTGGGATGCTAAAATGTTGTTTACCCGTTTCACAAAATATTTGGAAAAGAATGACTGTCATATATGAAATGAGGGAAATCTGAATTTGAAAGCGGTTTCTAATGAGGTGCCATTCATAAGACCCTTCGCCTCTGAGATCCCCCCCCCCCATGGAGTTTGTCAAAGAACAGTGTTTCAGGTTGCAAAATGTACTGACATGCTGGTACCATCTGCATACTACCATAGACTAAAGGCAAGGAAAGAAAGACATTTAATTCTAGGAGCAAGAAAACAAATTGCATATCTTTCAATTTAAGAGACAATACATCCAAAACATGCAATATATTTTTTTGGGGTGTGTGCATGTATTCTACATATTGTTAGCATAATGCAAATTAATAGGGGAAAGGAGGAATGCTGTGCACAGTAGGAAAGTCACCTAAGAAATTGGTGCTCAATCTCACCAAACTTACAAATATTTCCACATTAAATATTTCCACATGTACAGTATTAAGTATAGCTACAAAAGACCACTGTCTTTACCAGCAATGAGTCAAATACATAGAAAAAGACTTCAGTATTTAACCAGTTTCTTGAATTATGGATGACAGCCAGAGGTAGATTTGAACTGTCCTGCACATATGCAGGGCAAGTATCTGAGTGCTTGAGAAAACTGCTGGTCTGCCGCCACAGTTAGTTTCGAATTCTCGTCCTTATTATTCTTCCTGACAGCCAAAAGCGGTGCTTTAGCACTGGATGACTATCACCAGCATAGTTAAGAGGAAACCCATCTCATTGGTAATGGCTGAAAGGTTAATAAAGGACTATTACCAACCCTTCAAGAGGAACAGCAACACTGACCAACTAGAAATAGGCAAAGGGCATGGTGTGCTCCAGGCGGCCACAGCCCTTAAAATTGAACTGAACGTTTGCTCAATTACCTTACCATTTCAATAGGCTATTGGGACCTTTGTCTTGGCCAATGTTGGTGTGCCAATGAAAGTATGGCACGCGTGTAAACCCAACAGCCCATAAAAAAGTTTTCAAAACTTGAATCCTAAATAAACTCCTCCAGTACCAAGCACAATTAAAAACTTAGAACCTCAAACTCACGTAATAACACTTTACCAAGTGAAAGCACTCGTCAGGGTGCGCAATGATACAAAGAAACTAAGAAGCTGGTAACCGAAATTAGGTGGGCATGCCAAATAAGCTTAGTTTAAAAAAAAAAAAAAAAAAAAAAAA